ACGCCCTCGGCGACGCCTCCTCGCGTCGCGTGCCCGTGCGTGGCGACCGCACCGCCGGCAGAGCTCGAGTGGCCCTCCACGCCACCCCGAGACTGCCCGGCGATGGTGCCTCCGCCGCCGCGCGTTGCCGCCGCTGCCTCGCAGCGGCTCTGTGCCTCGGCGCCGAGCCGAGACATGTCAGGCGGCGTGCTGCCGCCCACCGAGACGAGGCCCGTCCCCTCGTCGTGCACCGCGTCGCTCGCGCCTCCGCCAAAGCGATCTCGATCACGCTTTGCGGCGACGGCGCCATCGACGCCGACTTGAGCCGCTGCTCTCGCCCAGCAGCGGGTGCTCGCCGCTGTCCACGGACGCGGCTCGTCAGGCGGCGCGGTGCCGCCGGCTGCAGCGACGGCTGTCCCGGCCGTCGCGTCCTCGAGAGAGGCGAGCGAGCCGGCAGCAGAGCCCGCATGGCCCTCACCGCCACAGCCGCTCTGCCTGCTGACCTCGCTCTCGCCGCCGCCGCCTGCAGCGGCGCCTCCGCGGCTCCGAGAGGACCCGGCCCGCGGCCGCGCCTCGCCTAGCGCCTCGGCGACGCCCTCGGCGACGCCTCCTCGCGTCGCGTGCCCGTGCGTGGCGACCGCACCGCCGGCAGAGCTCGAGTGGCCCTCCACGCCACCCCGAGACTGCCCGGCGATGGTGCTTTCGTCGCCGCGCGTTGCCGCCGCTGCCTCGCAGCGGCTCTGTGCCTCGGCGCCGAGCCGAGACATGCCAGGCGGCCCGCCGCAGCCCACCGAGACGAGGCCCGCCCCCTCGTCGTGCACCGCGTCGCTCGCGCCTCCGCCAAAGCGATCTCGATCACGCTTTGCGGCGACGGCGCCATCGACGCCGACTTGAGCCGCTGCTCTCGCCCAGCAGCGGGTGCTCGCCGCTGTCCACGGACGCGGCTCGTCAGGCGGTGCGGTGCCGCCGGCTGCAGCGACGGCTGTCCCGGCCGTCGCGTCCTCGAGAGAGGCGAGCGAGCCGGCAGCAGAGCCCGCATGGCCCTCACCGCCACAGCCGCTCTGCCTGCTGACTTCGCTCTCGCCGCCGCCGCCTGCAGCGGCGCCTCCGCGGCTCCGAGAGGACCCGGCCCGCGGCCGCGCCTCGTCGAGCGCCTCGTCGACGCCCTCGGCGACGCCTCCTCGCGTCGCGTGCCCGTGCGTGGCGACCGCACCGCCGGCAGAGCTCGAGTGGCCCTCCACGCCACCCCGAGACTGCCCGGCGATGGTGCCTCCGCCGCTTCGCGTTGCCGCCGCTGCCTCGCAGCGGCTCTGTGCCTCGGCGCCGAGCCGAGACATGCCAGGCGGCCCGCCGCCGCCCACCGAGACGAGGCCCGTCCCCTCGTCGTGCACCGCGTCGCTCGCGCCTCCGCCAAAGCGATCTCGATCACGCTTTGCGGCGACGGCGCCATCGACGCCGACTTGAGCCGCTGCTCTCGCCCAGCAGCGGTTGCTCGCCGCTGTCCACAGGCGCGGCTTGTCAGGCGGCGCGGTGCCGCCGGCTGCAGCGACGGCTGTCCCGGCCGTCGCGTCCTCGAGAGAGGCGAGCGAGCCGGCAGCAGAGCCCGCATGGCCCTCACCGCCACAGCCGCTCTGCCTGCTGACCTCGCTCTCGCCGCCGCCGCCTGCAGCGGCGCCTCCGCGGCTCCGAGAGGACCCGGCCCGCGGCCGCGCCTCGTCGAGCGCCTCGTCGACGCCCTCGGCGACGCCTCCTCGCGTCGCGTGCCCGTGCGTGGCGACCGCACCGCCGGCAGAGCTCGAGTGGCCCTCCACGCCACCCCGAGACTGCCCGGCGATGGTGCCTCCGCCGCCGCGCGTTGCCGCCGCTGCCTCGCAGCGGCTCTGTGCCTCGGCGCCGAGCCGAGACATGCCAGGCGGCCCGCCGCCGCCCACCGAGACGAGGCCCGCCCCCTCGTCGTGCACCGCGTCGCTCGCGCCTCCGCCAAAGCGATCTCGATCACGCTTTGCGGCGACGGCGCCATCGACGCCGACTTGAGCCGCTGCTCTCGCCCAGCAGCGGGTGCTCGCCGCTGTCCACGGACGCGGCTTGTCAGGCGGCGCGGTGCCGCCGGCTGCAGCGACGGCTGTCCCGGCCGTCGCGTCCTCGAGAGAGGCGAGCGAGCCGGCAGCAGAGCCCGTATGGCCCTCACCGCCACAGCCGCTCTGCCTGCCGACCTCGCTCTCGCCGCCGCCGCCTGCAGCGGCGCCTCCGCGGCTCCGAGAGGACCCGGCCCGCGGCCGCGCCTCGTCGAGCGCCTCGTCGACGCCCTCGGCGACGCCTCCTCGCGTCGCGTGCCCGTTCGTGGCGACCGCACCGCCGGCAGAGCTCGAGTGGCCCTCCACGCCACCCCGAGACTGCCCGGCGATGGTGCTTTCGTCGCCGCGCGTTGCCGCCGCTGCATCGCAGCGGCTCTGTGCCTCGGCGCCGAGCCGAGACATGCCAGGCGGCCCGCCGCCGCCCACCGAGACGAGGCCCGTCCCCTCGTCGTGCACCGCGTCGCTCGCGCCTCCGCCAAAGTGATCTCGATCACGCTTTGCGGCGACGGCGCCATCGACGCCAACTTGCGCCGCTGCTCTCGCCCAGCAGCGGGTGCTCGCCGCTGTCCACGGACGCGGCTCGTCAGGCGGCGCGGTGCCGCCGGCTGCAGCGACGGCTGTCCCGGCCGTCGCGTCCTCGAGAGAGGCGAGCGAGCCGGCAGCAGAGCCCGCATGGCCCCCGACTTGCGCCGCTGCTCTCGCCCAGCAGCGGTTGCTCGCCGCTGTCCACGGACGCGGCTCGTCAGGCGGCGCGGTTCCGCCGGCTGCAGCGACGGCTGCCCCGGCCGTCGCGTCCTCGAGAGAGGCGAGCGAGCCGGCAGCAGAGCCCGCATGGCCCTCACCGCCACAGCCGCTCTGCCTGCTGACCTCGCTCTCGCCGCCGCCGCCTGCAGCGGCGCCTCCGCGGCTCCGAGAGGACCCGGCCCGCGGCCGCGCCTCGTCGAGCGCCTCGTCGACGCCCTCGGCGACGCCTCCTCGCGTCGCGTGCCCATGCGTGGCGGCCGCACCGCCGGCAGAGCTCGAGTGGCCCTCCACGCCACCCCGAGACTGCCCGGCGATGGTGCCTCCGCCGCCGCGCGTTGCCGCCGCTGCCTCGCAGCGGCTCTGTGCCTCGGCGCCGAGCCGAGACATGCCAGGCGGCCCGCCGCCGCCCACCGAGACGAGGCCCGCCCCCTCGTCGTGCACCGCGTCGCTCGCGCCTCCGCCAAAGCGATCTCGATCACGCTTTGCGGCGACGGCGCCATCGACGCCGACTTGAGCCGCTGCCCTCGCCCAGCAGCGGGTGCTCGCCGCTGTCCACAGGCGCGGCTTGTCAGGCGGCGCGGTGCCGCTGGCTGCAGCGACGGCTGTCCCGGCCGTCGCGTCCTCGAGAGAGGCGAGCGAGCCGGCAGCAGAGCCCGTATGGCCCTCACCGCCACAGCCGCTCTGCCTGCTGACCTCGCTCTCGCCGCCGCCGCCTGCAGCGGCGCCTCCGCGGCTCCGAGAGGACCCGGCCCGCGGCCGCGCCTCGTCGAGCGCCTCGTCGACGCCCTCGGCGACGCCTCCTCGCGTCGCGTGCCTGTGCGTGGCGGCCGCCCCGCCGGCAGAGCTCGAGTGGCCCTCCACGCCACCCCGAGACTGCCCGGCGATGGTGCTTTCGTCGCCGCGCGTTGCCGCCGCTGCCTCGCAGCGGCTCTGTGCCTCGGCGCCGAGCCGAGACATGCCAGGCGGCCCGCCGCCGCCCACCGAGACGAGGCCCGCCCCCTCGTCGTGCACCGCGTCGCTCGCGCCTCCGCCAAAGCGATCTCGATCACGCTTTGCGGCGACGCCGCCATCGACGCCAACTTGCGCCGCTGCTCTCGCCCAGCAGCGGGTGCTCGCCGCTGTCCACGGACGCGGCTCGTCAGGCGGCGCGGTGCCGCCGGCTGCAGCGACGGCTGTCCCGGCCGTCGCGTCCTCGAGAGAGGCGAGCGAGCCGGCAGCAGAGCCCGCATGGCCCTCACCGCCACAGCCGCTCTGCCTGCTGACCTCGCTCTCGCCGCCGCCGCCTGCAGCGGCGCCTCCGCGGCTCCGAGAGGACCCGGCCCGCGGCCGCGCCTCGTCGAGCGCCTCCTCGACGCCCTCGGCGACGCCTCCTCGCGTCGCGTGCCCGTGAGCGGCGGCCGCCCCGCCGGCAGAGCTCGAGTGGCCCTCCACGCCACCCCGAGACTGCCCGGCGATGGTGCCTCCGCCGCTTCGCGTTGCCGCCGCTGCCTCGCAGCGGCTCTGTGCCTCGGCGCCGAGCCGAGACATGCCAGGCGGCGTGATGCCGCCCACCGAGACGAGGCCCGCCCTCTCGTCGTGCACCGCGTCGCTCGCGCCTCCGCCAAAGCGATCTCGATCACGCTTTGCGGCGACGGCGCCATCGACGCCGACTTGCGCCGCTGCTCTCGCCCAGCAGCGGGTGCTCGCCGCTGTCCACGGACGCGGCTCGTCAGGCGGCGCGGTGCCGCCGGCTGCAGCGACGGCTGTCCCGGCCGTCGCGTCCTCGAGAGAGGCGAGCGAGCCGGCAGCAGAGCCCGCATGGCCCATGGCAGAAAGGCTAGAGAGCGCGCGGTAGGTTGTCCAGTCTTGCGAGCGGTGCGGGCGATGCTCGGTGACAAACTGCTCGAAAGAGGAGGTGAAGGACTCGCTCAGGAGCAGAGCATCAAAGGCCGCCTCCAGGCCACCGCTCCATTTCAAACATGTGAACGCAATCGTTGGATCGAAAGCATCTAGTGCCTTGAGCACTATCGTGTGCTCGCGGCAAAAGCGCACGCTGTCTGCCACGTCGCATCCAGCCGCTTCCGAATCGGTCGGGGGTGGAGCTGTTGAAAGGATAGGCGGCATCAACGGCGCACTTGTGGGCAAGAACTGCACCAGCGTGCTGGCGAACGAGTGCTTCAGCTGCGACGCATCGCACTGCACGCCAATGTAGAACCTCGCGGCGCCCTCTGCGTCGGTGACGGCGCGCAAGCAGAGCAGGTTGAGGAAGGTCTCGCCACTGCGCTTGTAGTTGGTGATCCGGACGCTGCAATCTGCGCCGCTGCGGATTGCACCAACGATGGCCGCCACGGCGCCCACCTCCGTCTCGGGGCCCTGGAGGAAGCGGCAGTTCCGCCCGAGCACTTCTGACCTGCTGTAGCCGACCGTCCGACAGAAGGCCTGGTTGACGTAGATGAGAGGGTGGCCTGCCACGCGCGGGTCCGAGATGGTGACGCACTCGGGGCTCTCGTCCACAGCGCTGACGATGGAGTAGAGCCAGCCAGACGCCGCAGGCTCCACGCGGTACTGGTCCCAGAGCAGGTGGGACGCGCTGCCAAAGGGACGCTCGCACCCCACCGGCAGCCGCCGTACCACCGCGTCGCTGGATGGCGAGCACAAGAAGGAGGGAATCCACTCCCTTGCGAAGGCCTCGGCCGTTTCGCCGGCTGCCTGCAGGAGTTGATCAACCAGCTCCGCTGGCGAGGCGCCCTCGAAGCCCGGCATGAACGCGTCGGCCAGCTCGCGCGCCTGGGCCGCCTGCGCGTCTGCGGGCTGCGCGCTCAGCTCTCGCACCGCGAGCAGCAGCTCGAGCTGCTTCAGCCCAGACTCGCCCACGCCCTGCCCAAGGTGCCTCAACAAATCTTCCCTTGCATTGAAGTCGAGAAGTACCGCGTCGAGGCTACTGCGCGTGTTGTTCAGCCAGAAGATTCGAGCGCGCTCCAATGGGGAGGTGGAGAAGTCCGAACCCTCACCATGCCTCTGCGTCGGTGTGCGTCCCGGCAAGACACTCTGTGACTCATCCCCAGGCGCGTCGAAGCGCCCGGGCAGCAGGCGCCGCAGCCGCTCAACCTCCTCGCGCCCGCCCTCGTCGAGCGTGGCGGCGTCGCTCAGCACGCCGATGCTGTAGCGGTACACGCCGTTCGAGTCGTGCACCGGCTGCAGCGACAGCAAGTTGCGGAAGGCCGTGCCGTCCGCCTTGTAGTTGGTCAGCTCGACCTGCCCCTGCCGCGCGCAGCGCACGCTCTCTACGACGCGCCGCACGGCATCCTGCTCGGTCTGCGGGCCCTGCATGAAGCGGCAGTTGCGGCCGATGACGTCCTCGCGCGCGTGGCCGGTGAGCTGGGCGAAGGCCTCGTTGGCGGCGACGATGCGCGCGCCGGGGGCGTGCATGTCCGCGACGATGATCGCGTGCGGCAGCGCCTCCGTCGCCGCGGCCAGCATGCCCACCCAATCATGGTTGCAGGTGCGATAATCATCGTCATTTGCAACTGTCATCTGCTCGACGAGCTTCGCTCCCCAGCTGGATTCCAGCACGCGACTAATGTGCTTCGCAATAATTGGAGCGCACCGCTGAAGCCGCGCGTCTAGAGTAGCAGCCGGTTCGAAAGCTTTCTCAAGCTGCCTGCCTCGTGCAGCAGCCGGCACCAGTTCGATAAAGGCACTGACCTTGCCCCTCGATATGAGCTCGTGAGCAAAGCTACGGGCCAGTTGAGGGTCGGCCGGTGCTGAAAGCAGTCGGAGCCTGAGCAGCCGTGAGCGGTCCGGAGAAAGAGCTCCGTCGACCATGTTTTTGTGCTCACCGCAGAACCGCACGGAAGAGCATACGTCGGCTGGTCCGCGCGCAACGTGGCCGGACGCAGCTTGCTCCAACTCCTCGTGCAGTAGCGCTCCATCTCTTGTTGGCGAGGGCCGATCCTTGGCATCTACCTTGACAGCGCCGCCGATCGTCGCACCCGTGCAGTGCATGGGTATCAGCTGGAGGAGGTGTGAGCATGCACTCACATCACGTTGGCCAGCCCGGATCTCTTGCATCACGCCAATGTAGAACCTCGCGGCGCCCTCTGCGTCGGTGACGGCGCGCAAGCAGAGCAGGTTGAGGAAGGTCTCGCCACTGCGCTTGTAGTTGGTGATCCGGACGCTGCAATCTGCGCCGCTGCGGATTGCACCAACGATGGCCGCCACGGCGCCCACCTCCGTCTCGGGGCCCTGGAGGAAGCGGCAGTTCCGCCCGAGCACTTCTGACCTGCTGTAGCCGACCGTCCGACAGAAGGCCTGGTTGACGTAGATGAGAGGGTGGCCTGCCACGCGCGGGTCCGAGATGGTGACGCACTCGGGGCTCTCGTCCACAGCGCTGACGATGGAGTAGAGCCAGCCAGACGCCGCAGGCTCCACGCGGTACTGGTCCCAGAGCAGGTGGGACGCGCTGCCAAAGGGACGCTCGCACCCCACCGGCAGCCTCCGTACCACCGCGTCGCTGGATGGCGAGCACAAGAAGGAGGGAATCCACTCCCTTGCGAAGGCCTCGGCCGTTTCGCCGGCTGCCTGCAGGAGTTGATCAACCAGCTCCGCTGGCGAGGCGCCCTCGAAGCCCGGCATGAACGCGTCGGCCAGCTCGCGCGCCTGGGCCGCCTGCGCGTCTGCGGGCTGCGCGCTCAGCTCTCGCACCGCGAGCAGCAGCTCGAGCTGCTTCAGCCCAGACTCGCCCACGCCCTGCCCAAGGTACGCCTTGAGCGCCTCCAGGCCCTCGCCGTCGTTGAGCAGCATTCGAAATGTCCGGCTCGCATTCCGAACACCAAACAGCTTGTCGAGGCCGGGCTGATCGTGGACGGTACTAGCCGTGTCCGTATCCTCGAATCTAGGAGGCAAATCTTTGGCTGCCAAGTCCTCGTGGAAATCGGAAGGCAGCAGGCGCCGCAGCCGCTCAACCTCCTCGCGCCCGCCCTCGTCGAGCGTGGCGGCGTCGCTCAGCACGCCGATGCTGTAGCGGTACACGCCGTTCGAGTCGTGCACCGGCTGCAGCGACAGCAAGTTGCGGAAGGCCGTGCCGTCCGCCTTGTAGTTGGTCAGCTCGACCTGCCCCTGCCGCGCGCAGCGCACGCTCTCTACGACGCGCCGCACGGCATCCTGCTCGGTCCGCGGGCCCTGCATGAAGCGGCAGTTGCGGCCGATGACGTCCTCGCGCGCGTGGCCGGTGAGCTGGGCGAAGGCCTCGTTGGCGGCGACGATGCGCGCGCCGGGGGCGTGCATGTCCGCGACGATGATCGCGTGCGGCAGCGCCTCCGTCGCCGCGGCCAGCATGCCCACCCAATCGTCGGCTTGCAGACGCGGCAACGCGGCGTATTCGCCGTCGCCTTTGGAGAGCCGGACGACCTCCTGGCCGTGCTCGCTCTCTAGAAAAGGCGCCAGCCAAGCGAGCTGTAGCCGTCCCAAGATTCGCTCCGCCTTTTGCTCGAGCAGCTGCAGAGCCTCCGCGCTGTCCACCCGGACCGGCTGGGCGCCGGTCCCCAAAGCGCGGTGCGACTCATGCAGTAGCATCGCCTCGGTCGAGCGCGCCCACGGGTCGCGTATCGCCATGCACGCCTTGATCTGCTCCCAGTGCACCAGCAGCACCTGAACATTCACATGCACACGTGATCCGTGGGTCCATCAGCGCGATTCATTCGCGCGCAGGGACAAGGCTCGGAAGCGGGCGGGCGCCCCGCACCTTGGCCCGCTTATCCCTTTCCTGAAGGAACTGCGCAAACAGCGTGTGGCCACCGTCACGTCGTATGATTGCCCGCAGTGCGTCCACCTCCGGTGCGAGCCAGGAGAGGCGGAGCAGGATCTCGGTGCAGTCAAGCGGTGCCGCGGCTTCCGATGCAGTGTGGGTTTGCCACTTTTCCTGAGGCGCGAGGGAAAGCACGGTGAGACTCTAGCCGTTCCTCCAACGCACGGCTGCGTGGTGCGTACCGCTCTCGCTGCAGCAAGCCCAGAGCTCGACGGGGCCTCCCAGATGCTCCCGTCGTGGCGGACGAGCGTCGACCTTCCCGTGGAGTCGACGAGCATGGACCGGTCGTTGTTGTTGCTGAGGATGTTTGCCGCCATGCCGTCGAGGGAGCGAGCACCTCCCGAGCGCAGCTTCTTTTGGTAGTCGCCCAAATCCATCGCCTCCTCCGACTCGCGCTGCGTCTCCTTCTTGCGACGCGTCTTCACCCCTTCGATGACGTTCAGCCTCTCGAGCCTGTGTCGAATACGGCGGCGGAAGGGGCTGTCGAGAGTGGAGTCTTGGATGGCGCTGCGCGCGCGCGCACCTGAATTGCCCCTCAAGAGTCGTCCTCGCCCGGTCGTGCACCTTGTCGAGGATGCGCATCCGCTGCCGGTGGTGATCCTTGATTTTCTCCTGCGCCACCTTGTGGCCGGCCACGAGCTGTGAGGCCAAGGAGCCGCGGTCGCTGCCGAGGATGACCCGCATCGTCTGCTTCCTCCAGACCTCGCGCTCGTGCCGCTCCAGCCCCTCCGCCTTCTGCTGCAGCTCACGCAAGATGGACGCACCGGCATGGACCTCGCCCAGCTTTGACACATTTGACGTGAGCGCTGCCAGGTCTCGGCTGGGCCGGAATCGGTGCTTCTTGAGCTGTACCGCCCAAGAGAGGCTTCCGCCTTGGTCGGGCGAGCCTTGCACCACCGGCGTCCAGCTGGCGCCGATCGTCATCATGGCGGTCACGTTTTCGACGAGTTGGTGCATCTCATCCGCCTGCCGCTCGAGAAGCTGCTGGTAGTCGCGCATCTGCGCATCGATCAGCTTCTCCGTCTCAGCCTGCTGGCTTTGTTGGAGCTCAGCCGCTCGCTTGTTCTGCCGCATCTCCATGGCCATCAGCCGCTGCTTGGTCAGCTTGTCGTCCTCCTCCGCCTTGTCGCCCTGACCTTCGGCGCGCTTGTTATTGATGGCATGCTGGAGCTCAAAGACTTCGGAGGTGAACCCGACGCGGCGGTAGGCGCGCTGCTCCGCGATGAGGTCCTGCAGCTCCACCGGCGGCAGCTCGGCACTCTGCTCTGTCCCGGCTTTCACACCCCACTGACACTGCTGGCCCAGGGCCGTGACCACCTTGTCATGCACCAGCTCCGTCATCTTTCGTCGAGCCTCGTCGGCGTGCGGAATGCCCAGCAAGTTGAGCACCTGCTCATTGGTCTTTTTGCGCTCTGCAACGTGCGCAGGCGGTCGTCAGCTGCGGGCCAGAGTGAGGAGGGACTGCAGTGAGGTGGCGTCGGACCTTCCTCGAAGGCACGGGTCGCCGCGAACGACTTGATGTCATCGTGGTGACCCTGCGAATCTGCCATGCTCACATGCAGTCGCGGGCCCTGTGCTCTTCAGGTGCGCCGTCCGAAGTGTACGCGAGAGTTGTTACAACCCCGGGGTCAAACGGTTTGATAGGATGAAACGTGCGCGGCTCTCGAGACCTCGAGAGCCTATCGTCTACATTACCCGTATGTGGCCATACACGACTGAGTGTGTAGGACCCTGACTGCACTAGCTCTGGCTCTCTCTCTCGCTCTACTCCTGCGGCGCTGCGGGGGCGGGGGCAGGGGCCCCGGCCCCAAGCCCAGCTGGAGGCTGGACGCCCCCTCACAGATCCCCAAATCCCAAAAACGGCCGTCGTACATGCACCTATGGTAGCACGGAGCCCGCGCCCCCGGTCCTCCCCCCCTCCTCGCCGTACCTCCGCTTTGCAGCCAAGAGGTGGGGCAAGCGCGGGGGCCGGTTCTCGCAGGATCACCGGTTCGGCAGGGAGGTGCCTCTCACCGCTGCACCAGCACGCTGCGGACGTGGACGTCGAGCCGCATGAAAGAGCGAAAGTCGAGGGCGTCGACGTCGATCTTGATGTCGCCCGAGTTGAGCGGCACGAGAGCGGCCGGGCAGCACTTCTTCACCATCCGCTGCACCTCGAGCATCTCGCTCGAACGCAACCGCTTCGCGTTGAACCAAAAGTGCAGCCGCATCTGCGGCGTCACGATCGCCGTGCCCGACGGGTTGGTGACGGCACCGTTGAGAGAGCGCTCGTCGCCGCCCGCCGGCGCGTTCTGCGCCGACTCGAAGGTGGCCTCAGCGTGCCGAAACTTTGCCTCCGCGAGGTCGCGGCACTCGCTGACGGGCTTTGCGATCCACGAGTCGGCGCCGTTGAAGCGGAGCGCGTTGGCCCACACGAGCTCGACGTCGGCCTTCATCGCCTCCGCCGTCGAGTACTCGCCCCGGTCGAGCTTCTTGAAGACGGTGCCCAGGTCCATCGGCTGCGTGATGATGCTCGGGTACTCCCAGAGCTTCAGCTTCTTCCAGTTGACCTACGCGGCGACGCACACGCCTCACCGCACACACACACAGCGCCGCCCCCACTCGCGTGCCGCGCCGGCGCGCGGAAGGCGGCCGCACCGCTGTGCATCCGCAGCGAGTACACAGCCTTCTTGTACATCGCCCGCACGCGAGCCGCTTCACCGGTCGCCTCCTCCTTGAGGTACGTCGCAGCGGGCAGCGCGCGCGGTCGCGGCGGTGGCGGCGCCGCTCTCGCAGCGCCGGCCGCGGGCGGTGCGGCTGGCGGTGGCGGCGCCGGAGCGGCCCGCGGCGGCGCCGGCCGCGGCGGCGCTGGCCGCGGCGGCGCTGGCCGCGGCGGCGCCGGCGCGGGCCGCGGCGGCGCTGGCGGCGCGGGCGCGGGGCGGGGCTGGTCGCCGGTCGGCCCAGCGAAGGCGGGCTCGATGGTGGCGAGTAGGCGCTTCTCGAACTCGGCCGAGAGGGCGGCGGCGGCGGCGTGGACGGGCGTGCCGACGGGGTTGTACCTGCGGGAGGAGTGGGGGAAGGGGGGTTGGGGGGTGGGAGTGAGGGCGAGGCGGGAGAGGGGGGGGGGGGGGGGGCCCCCCTGATTGCGTTGCTCCAGACGAGGCGCATGTCGCGGACGAAGCCTCCCGCGTCGGTGTACTCCTACGGACATGTCTCGGACCTGTCACGGACGTGTCTTGGACCTGTCCCCTCTCCCGCGCGTGTGTCGTCCTTGCGGTCGAGGCGCTGCTCGACGGTGCCGAGGTCCATCGGGTGGGTGATCACCGTCGGGTAGTCGGGGATGTTGAGCGCAACCTGCGAGAGGAGTGGGCTGTCCTCACCATCTGCCACCCATCGTCCCTCCTTCGGGCGGTGTGCCGCCACCGGGTCGACGGGCGCGAGGAAGTCACGCGCCTGTGGCACCATTCGTCACTCATTACCGCGCACCATCCGACTATGAGTCGAGAGGAGAGTCGCTGCGGCCTGAGGCATCTGCAGAAAGGGGCGCAGCAGCGAGCGGCACTGGCCGAGGGTCATCTCGAAGCTGTCCGCCTCCACCGCACCCGCCGCAGCGCTCGCCCCGCCCGCCGCGCCCGACCGCCCCGCCGGCCGCGCGGCGGCGGGCGGCGCCGGCGCGCGCTTTCGCGCGGGCGCGGCCGGCGGCGGCGCGGCGGCGTCGAGGGCGATGGCGGCGGTGTCTGCGAAGCCGGACTGGCTGAACTTTCGCTTGGTGTGCTCCCGGAGGGTCGACGCGTCCGCCCCGATCCACGACGTCGGCCCGTTGAAGTCGATCGCGTTCTGCCAGATGAGGTCGATGTCGCGCCTCAGGTCGGCGACCGTGCCGTACCGGCCCCGCTCGAGGTTGGAGGAGACGGTGGCGAGGTCCATCGGCTGCGTGATGATGGTCGGGTAGTGCGGCAGGTTGAGCGCCACGTAGTCCACCGGCACGCGGAACGGCTTCGAGCGCGCGTGCGACTGCAGGCTGCGCAGGAGGGGCCGCAGCTTTGAGGCGGGCACGCCGTCCGCCGCGTCAGAGTCCGGCGCGGGAGGCGCGGGCCGGTCGCACGAGCCGACCAGGGCCTCGAGCCGGTCGTCGAAGGCCTTCTCGAGCGCCCTGGCCGCCTCGTGCACCACCGAGCCGACCGGGTTGTACAGCCGCGCGTTGTACCAGACGAGCTTGACGTCGGCCACAAACTCCTCCGTCGTCGCATAGCTGCTCGCGTCAAGCTTCTTCTCGATCGTGCCGAGGTCCATGGGCTCGCGGACGATGGTGGGGTAGTCGGGGATGCGCAGCGCGACGACGTCGACCGGCTGCAGAAAGTAAAACGCCTGGTCCATCTTGCTGATCGGCTTGAGCAGGTCGCGGCCCGCCAGCCGCAGCGAGATGGCGCCGCACGAGCCGGCCGGGACTTGCGGCCGGGAGTAGGTGGACATGGCGCCCCCACAGCGGGACTCGCCCCCACACCGGCGCAGCAGCAGCGGAGGCGAGCACGCCTGCAGGCGGCGGTGCCGGTGCGGTGAGCGGCGGCGGGCGCGCGGCAGCGCGGCGCGAGAGTGGGCGCGTGAAGTGGCGCATGAGCCGCGCGGCCGCTGCCGATTCGCGCGCGCGGCGCGAGAGGAGTGGCGGGAGCAGGAGCGGAGGACACGGGCCGGGGCGGGGCGGAGGACGCAGAGGCCCGCGCGCCGGGCGAGTGCGAGTGGAGAATAACGCAGGCGCCCAGAGCGAGGGTTGCGAGGCACTCCCACGCCTCACACACAAAAACACAACCACGGACCCAAGACGCACAAGCTCAGACAGTCGAGAAAGGGATAGACCGCAACGACAGTCAGAACCCACGCCTCACGTATTAAACGCACAACCCCGGGCCCCGAAATCGCACATTGATGACAGTGAGTGACATGCAACACGGGGTCCCAGGGAAGGCTGAATAAGGTTTGCCTCTCGCACCCCGTCTCTTTTCCTTTCCTGTTTTCTCTACAGCGCCCTCCTTTTCTCTATTTTCCCGGGGAAAGCACAATTTTTCCGGGCTCTGAGCCGAGTCTGAGTGAGGCTGGTTGGTTTGGGCCCAAACAAAATCAGCCAAATCGGCAAAATACCCGATGGAGAGGGGGGTGGGGACGGCGGGG